TTCTTGAGATTATTTTTCCTAAAAATGTTTTATTTCTGTTTCGTAATAATTTATATTATTTATATTTTAACATTGGTTGTGTATAGAGGTGTACGAACCTCTAAACTCTAACAGTTCTTCGGTTGCAACCGCTGAACGAAGGGATAGTCCGATCGGAGATATATCGGTAAGTTGGATCTTTCTGCGCCGAATAGAAATAGTACAAGAACTTCACGATTACGAGGGTGGCAATGATGAGGAAAATGTCACCATTTCGTCTATTTTAAAAATACATTGTTGTAAGTGTTAGCTACAAATGAACTTAATCTAAAAATTGAATTTTTCAAGCACATAGGAGGGAGGGGGGTTTATAATATATGATATTTATTTATTTATTTAGTTTATTTTGCTTATATGACATTACATGAATGTATAGCAATGGTCAATGTGATGGACAACAGTGGCCCATACAAAAATACAAATATAAATATACAGACACACATATAAAATGCAAACATAACAAAGTAAATTGTACTACAATTGATAACATTCGGAAAGAGAATAAAAACATTTCTTTATTAAAACATTTTTTAGTGTATATTTAAAGATATTCAAGTTATTACAACGCTTAATGTTACCGGGCAAGTTATTAAAAATCCTTAAGGCAATATGATCAGGTGATTTCGATATAGCAGCATATTTTGTGTAGGGCAGATGGAATCGATCCTTCTGTCTCGTATTTAAGTGATGAATATCACAATTTGTTTTAAACTTTGTTTTATTTTTATAAACATAAATACACATTTCTAAAATATATAATGAGGCAACAGTCATGAGACCAAAATCAACAAAAAAGGTTCTGCAAGATCGTGTACTTGGAACACCGGCAATTGTTCTAATCACACGTTTTTGTGAAACAAAAACAGCCTGCGATAAGGTGGAGTCACCCCGTAAACAAATTCCATATCGTATTCGAGATTCTATTTGAGCATAATATACGTTCGTTAACTGATGTTTAGTTAGGACGTCTTTAATGTTTTTAAAAAGAAAATTTGTAGAGTTTAATAAATTGACTAAATTTTTACAATGTGGCTTCCAATCCATATGTTCGTCGAGTGTAATACCTAGAAATTTTACTGGTTCCGTGATACATTTGAGGTATACATCATTAATCTTTACAGATAAGGGTTCACAAATCTTTTGCCTATTATGGAAACGAATTGTCCTAGTTTTTTCACTATTTAAATATAGGTCATTCATGTTGAACCAATTGTTGAGTGACTGCAAAACTTCAGTACATTTGTTATTTAAACTTTCGTCATTTTTTTGCGATATTATTAACGAGAGATCATCAGCATATAGGGAAAAGCAGATGTTTTGTAATACCGAGTCAATGGCATTTATATACAAAATAAATAATAAAGGTCCAAGGATGGACCCTTGGGGCACCCCTGTACCAACTATTTTATACTTAGAGGCAACACATGATTGAAAGTCATCTCCACGATATTGTATAGATGTAAATTGTTTCCTACCATTAATGAAAGAATAAACCCACTGCAAAGATTTACCTCTGACTCCATAGTCTGATAGACGGCTAAGTAATATTTTATGATTTATGCAGTCGAATGCCCTGCTGAGATCACAGAATATCCCAACAGGACACTCTCCAGCTTCAATGAAATTAATTAAATCATTATATAAAGAAAAAACAGCTGACATTGTTGATTTGTTTTCACGAAAACCAAATTGTTTGTCTGTCAAAATACCAAACCTATCTAAAAAAGTAACAAGACGATACTGAAAAGCATATTAAAAAATCTTTGAAAAAGAGAACGATATGCACACAGGCCTATAGCTTTCCATGGCGTTACGCTCACCTTTCTTATATATTGGGACCACCTTTCCAACTTTTAATATATTTGGAAAAGTACCCGTAAGAAAAGACAAATTTACTAAGTACGTAAGTGGCTGAATCAAAATAGATATTACTCGTTTTAAAAGGAATGTAGGCACCTCATCGGGGCCCGAAGATTTTTTGTTTTTTAATTTATTTCTTAATAAATTGTGTAGTTCATCCTCGACATACGGTAACAAGAAGAATGTGGAGTTTACGAATTTATGGGTTCTAGCCGGATCACCAATAGTAACCGTCCTCATTTTATTTAAGATATCTAACGGTGCATTTATAAAATAGTTATTAAATGCAGAAGCAACTGTATAAGGATCAAAAGTGTCAACCCCATCAACCCTAATTTTAAAATTTTCCGAATGATTTGTTTTATTAGATATTTCGGCAACCACCTTCCATGCAGAACTACATGGATTATCACTATTAATAATCCTATCCTGATAAAATTTTTGTTTAGTTTTACGAATTATACTGGCATGACTTTTTTTAGCCTCCTTATAAACGTCGCTCATTACAGGAAACTGTTGTTTAATATTGTATAAAAATTTCAGATTAGAACTTGATCGTTTTATCTCATCGTTCACCCAGTGTTTTCTAGATAATGGATTAAAAACTTTTTTTTTAGGGAAATAAATATTAAAATAATACATATAGATATCGTAAAAATATTGAAAAGCTTCGTCAAGATCACTAATACAATACAGATTACCCCAATTCTCTAATGCAATTGCTGTTTCAAATTGGGCAACATTTCTATCACTAAAATTACGTTTTTCAAAGGTAAGAAAGAGCAAATTTGTAATAATAACATGGTGGAGTGTTGATTTGTCGTTAAGAATCATTTGTGGTAGCCCTAACGTTTTCGACGGTTTTCAGAGTTGTTTTCTAATTTTGAAAGAGTAAATGGTGGAAATATATACATATTTTATTGTTTTTATCGTTTTCAAGATGCTAGGCGATTCTTAATTTTCGGCAAAATTGACATAAACCTCCATTTAGTAGAGCGGTTTATATATCTTACAGGCATTTCCTTGAATATAATTATGCCGTGACAGAAATAAATTTTGAATTTATTTTTCACTTTTTAGTGGTTTTGTGCTTTCTTTTCTTAAGTTTTCAGTTAAATTGTCTTTGTCAGTGTTTGTATAAATACGTAAATAAACCAGTGACGAGGCGTTTCATTTATCCTTATTAACTACGTTCATTTCCAATGTGTCATTTGTCAGAAGTTTGCTTGGTGGTAAATTCTATAATATTTTGCTTATAATTCTATCCAATAATAAAATAATTTTCACATTACTTTCAAATAAAGGAGAAAATAGCAATTTTTTATTATTCTTCTATATTCCCCATGCACTGACGTTTTTGAAATTAATTCGAAAATACTTAAGGAAACTATTGAATTAATACTCCCATTTTTAACTTCACTAATAAATGTTTGCTTCAACAGGGGTATTTTCCCCAGTGCTTTAAGCTGACCAAGATTTTACAAATGTTCAAAAAAGGAGATCAAAATCTTACAAATAATTATCGCCCAATCTCAATTATACCAATTTTTGGTAAGGTGATTGAAGCCATAATGAAGGCGAGATTATATACTTTCCTTGAAAACAATTCCGTTTTATGTGCGAGTCAATTTGGTTTTAGACCGAATCGGTCTACAACCAATGCAGTGCATGGGGTTGTGAAAGACGTTATCAGAGGACTTGAAAAGGGTGAACACACGGCTATTGCTTTATGCGACCTCACAAAAGCCTTCGACTGTGTCCCCCACGAATTATTATTGGCTAAGTTGGAGCATTACGGTGTGAGGGGTTTGCCACTAGTTTTTTTTAAGTCATACTTAATGGACAGGTCTCAGTGTGTCACAATTAACAATAATGTGTCCGAATTTAAAGTGAATAACCATGGTGTACCACAGGGATCCATTTTGGGACCAATCTTATTTTTGATCTTTATAAATGACATTCATTACTCTCTTTTACCTAATAAATGTATACTGTTTGCGGACGACACTACTTTGTTGGTGTCA